AGACTTCTAAGATAGGAACAGAGAGTAGGAGGAAGGGTTAAAGATGTTTCCCCTAGCCAAATGACTGCAAAGTCAGTTTTATTTAAAGGTTCTTCCCTGGTGTGTAACCACAGTGTACCTGTGGCACATACGTTTGAGCCTATGGAAAAGAAATTAGTCATGGCACATGGTTAATGCACCAACACCTCATGCCAGGTATAAATTTTAGAAAATCCCAGTTTCTCTAACCATTCTCTTTATGACAGTGAGTGGCATTATGAGTGAGTTGTTAGTCCTGAAAGAATTAGACTTGAGATTCGTATTGGTTAAGTTGGGAGCCAAGGTTCAGGGGAGGTTGTGTATATTCCATAGCTGCCTCTAAACTAGGAATGGGAATAATCTGAGAATAGCATTTCTAAGGGAGTTAACCACAAGTTAATTTTAATATGATCCCTTTAAGAATTGAAGTCTGTTCCGGACAAGGTGGTCCTCTTCACACAGCACAGACAATATTTTTGTTTTGTTTTGGAGAGGACTGTTTATAAAGAATGACAACCATTGTCTGGTTCCATGTCCTCTGGCAACCTCCCAAGGACATGCTGACAGTGTTCTGAGAAGTAGACGTGTTAGAAGTATACTTCTCAAGAGAGCCCTTGCCACTGAATCAAGTGTGGATAGGAAAACACATCAGTGACCAGCAGCAACTTCTGGGCTGTGATTCCCTTGTCTTGGAGGCTGGATGGTGGAGGAGGTCTGATCATGTGATAAGTACTACAGCGGGGGTGGGAAATATGGCAGATTGCTGTTGAACACTTCATTGTAAAACTGACTCTAGAGCAGCCCAGTTTGGTCCTCAATATTTTAGCCTGTTTAGTTTCTATGTCATTCAGCCTGCATACTACTCCAGGACTGACCAAAGATGGGCAAATTCTATCACTTTCTAGAAAACCAAATGAGTTCCCAACACTACTGATTCAGCATTGTTTCATGTATTAAATTGGCAGCTGCACTTTATGTCTGCACTATTACATAGTGCATTTTAACTTAATTTTTCCAGCAACATGTTATTTAAGATGTATTGTTGAGAATTCATTAGAATTAGTTCTCCTGTGTGAAGCAGAATAAATGTATGATGTTGTGGAAAATGATATGTCTGTGGTTGCTAATAAAATCTAGTATTTTGTGTAGATTCTCTGTAAGGACCTCAGAGCCCCTTGGCTTTGATTTGTAAGTCCATCTGGGTATTATCTGATCCAGACCATTTCCTCAAGCTGTGTCTGGTTCCTGGCCTTTCTGCCTCTTCTCTAACCTCTGCCCTGGATCAGCACAGCTTTGGTGGTAGTATTCGTCTCTGTAAGTAAATTCGCTAAAAAGTGCCCTTGGCTTTATCATCCCATCTCACCCAGGCCAGCAGTCCCACCCCCACAGCAGATGTCACCACACCTGCCACTTTTGGAATTGGCACTTTTAAACCTATTTGTCTGGATATTATTTAGGGTGGGTAATAACTGCTGTAGTCATGTGGCATAGCCCTGTATCACGCCAGTATTATCTTTCTCTAATCCTCAAAAACTAATTTGCATTAAGGTTTTGTGCTAGCATCATGGGAAGCATTTTTGTTTGTGTTAATCCTAATTTTTTAAATTTTAGAGAGAAACATCAATGATGAGAAAGAATCATTAATCGGTTGCCTCCTGCATGTTCCCTCCTGAGAATCTAGCCTGCAACCCGGGCATGTGCCCTGGCTGGGAATCGATCCAGTGACCTCTTGGTTCATGGGTGGATGCTCAACCACTGGGCCACACAGGCCAGGCTGTGTTGTCCTAATTTAATTCTCACTATTTGTAAGGTAGGATGGTATTATTCCCATTTTATAGCTGAGGAAACTAAACTGCAGGAAGGTTGTCTAGGTTTACACGATGAAAGAGCTGTGATTTGAACTGGAGTTGCCTGAATCCATATCCTAGTCTGTACCCTTATCATGTTACCTCGTATCTTGTGGCTTCTAGATCTTTTGTTCCTCTTTCCTTTTTCCATCCCCCTCTACCATCACTTCAGGGAAGAGAAGGTATTTTCCATATACCTGCCAGAAATTTCAGCTGCCAGAGGACTAGGCTGCGGGGAGATGGGCAGATAGCCATTGCTCTGCTGAGTTCATGTAACAAAGATGTGTAGAGACAGATAATCCCATCAGCCTTCCAGCAGTCAGATAATCTAGTCACTGATATCATCTGCATTATAACAGGACAGTTCTGGCTTGGAGTGAGGCAGTCAGGACAAGGGAGGAGAGGAGGAACAGTCAGCCTGGTCTAAAGTATAGAATGAAAAAGAGCCATGGGTATGTATCCAATGAAAGTGCAAGGTCTGTTGCAAAGATTTCTAAGGTGCTCTGTATTTATTCATTATTGAGTGCCTACCAACTGCCTGGGCCAAGCTAAATGCTGAGGAAAGATGTTTAAACAAAAAAACTCAGCCCTAGCCAGTTTGTCTCAGTGGATAGAGCGTCAGCCTGCAGACTGAGGGTCCTGGGTTTCATTCTGGTCAAGGGCACGTACCTCAGTTGCTGGCTCCTCCCTGGCCCGGGCCCTGGTTGGGGCACATGCAGGAGGCGACCAATTGATGTGTTTCTCTCAAATCTATATTTCTGTCTTTCCCTCTCTCTAAAAAAATCAATGGAAAAATACCCTCAGGTGAGGGTTTAAAAATAAATAAATAAAGCATGCTCTTTGCATTTCTGACAAGTTCTCAGGTTTTGTTGCTGCTACTGGTATGGGGACCACACTTTGAGAACCACTGACCCAAACCAACTAAGATATGTTCTATAATAAAGGTAAGTTTAGATTGGATTGTTGAAGGAACAAGGAACAGAGAAGGAAGAGATTAATTCTGCCTGGAAGTGTCCTTGAAGGATGGGTAGGATTTTGCTTGGCTACTGAGAAGAATAAAGACATGAGGAACAGCCTGAGTAAAGACCCAGGGATCAGAAGAGGTTGGACTTTTGAGCAGTTGAGCTGGATGGAACTCCAGTGGTACACGAAGTATATGAAGGAGTCAGGAACTTATGCTGAAGGAAAGGAGTGAGAGTTCAAACTTAGGTACAAAGAGCCAACAAAGTATTTCAAGCAGACAAGTGGTAGACTTGAGAGTTGTGTTTAGAGAAATTTCTCAAGATCTATACATCATAGGGCTCCACTCCAGACCTGAATTTTGAGTTGGAGATGCATCTTTAATAAGCACCCCAAGCAATTCTGAGCCACACAAAAGTTTGAAGAAGGAATGGAGAAGAACAAGAACTGAGGCTGGATCATTTAGGGAGCAGGTGGAAAAGGATAGAAAAAAAAATACTTAAAATGTCATAAGGCAAAATTCACAGGGTTTAGTTACTAATTTGATTGGGAGAGTGTTTGTGAGATGAGTCCAGGCAATTATAAAATGTTAGGGTTTGGTTTCTATTTTCCAAGGGAGCAACAGCAAAAGAGGCAGAAGCAGATGAGGTTGGGAGAAGACCATGGAAGTAAAAATGGATAAGGAAATGTATTATAGTGGGAAGATCACTGGATTGAAAATGGGGAGACCTTGCTCTGTGAACTTTGCTGCTGTAGGACTGTCTTCTTTTAGAGGCCAGAGTAGATGATCTCTGAGGTCCCTTCCAACTCTAAAATGTCATATTCCAAGTTAAAGTAGAAAGTATTTTAGTTGAATATAAATTTAAGTACATAATTAGGGGGATAAACGATTGGAATGGGGTCCTAACGCCTGCAGGGAAAAATTAGTCCCTGGAGAACAATAAAAAATTGATGAAACCCTGATTTGTCCAACATCTTGCCCACGACCAATACTATAGACTTTTCAATGTTCAGATGAGCAATAACTGTAAGATGATTTATCTTTCTTTTGAACTTGGAAGACACCTAAAGAAACATCTAAAAACCTAGCATTCATGGCTGGATGTGGCTCAGCGGTTGAGCATCGACCTATGAACCAGGAGGTCACACACCGATACCTGGTCAGGGAACATGCCAGGGTTGCAGGCTCGATCCCCCATAGAGGGCATGCAGGTGGCAGCCGATGAATGATCCCTCTCCCCTTTTCTCTGAAGTCAAGAAAAATATATTTTTTAAAAACTTCCAATGAGTGATGGAAAATAATTCCATTTGAGAGCCAGCTAGACCTGAGTTCAAACCTAAATTTGCATCCCATCTCAGGTAACATCCTCTCTGAATCTCACTTTCCTCATGTCTACATGGGAAGAAAATAGCCAAGATGCAGAGTTGTGAGCATTAAAAAGGCTGTGGACTTACCTAAACTGCCTAGCAGAGTCGGTGCTCGGTACAGTGACAGGGTAAACAGAAGGACTGCTTGAGTCTGTGTCCCAGCTCCACCACTTACTAGCTGTGGACTTGGGGCAAATTACTTAATTTCTCTAAGATACAGTTTCTTCAACTGTAGAATGGAGATAATAATACCTATCTCCTAGTGTTGTTATAGGATCCAATGAGGTAATATCCGTAAATAGGTTAACGTGATTTAGCAAAGGGTAAACAGCTGTTATCACCATCAGAGTCTTTCACCTCCTTCACTGCTTAGCTTGTAATGTCTATGACATCACGACACTCTAAATGTCGGGGGAAAATACCCTTACTTGATTAATGCTCGTCTCCCCCTCCTTACGACCAACAGCAGTTCACACAGTGGACACTAAAAAAAAAAGTTCTATTTTGCTCCCTGACTATTCCAAGGCAAAAAAGTAAATTTCAAACGGTGTCCCCTCCTAGCGTCAGAGAATGGAACTACAAAAGGCTGGAGCATACAAGCCTTCCTTGCTCTTCCATCCGTAGGCGATAGGCGGCACTCCCTGGCTCTTTTCTTCTGCCGGATATACTAATAAAGTTTGATTTGAATAAATAAGCAGCCAGGCCCTGCTTTCCCCATAGAAGCTTCTTCCGCCAGCAACCAGAGTCTGAGGGCCTCGCAAGAGGCGGGTCGAGACTTAAGGGGCGGTACCGGAAGTGAGATCACCACCTCCGGGGTGAAAGGTTAGCGGAAGTGTGGTTCTTTCCTTTCTGCTCTAGGCCCGAGTGGCTGCGTTCGGTGAGTACATCCCTGGGGAGGGTCTTCCAATCCACCGCCATCTGCGGCCTGGGGGGCGAGTTGTGGGGTGGTTCCGAGTACTTTCCATTCCTCTGTCTCTGGCGGCTTCGTAGCGGATCCTGTCCCGTGAACAGGGCCCGTGGGCGGCCTGGGCCAGGACGACAGTGAACGCAGCCTGAAGCTCCGAGAGCACGCAGCCTGGGCTTGCGAGTTTCTTAGGGGCCCCTTGTTCCTCTCTGCAGAAATGGGCAAGTTATGAAACCCGGGAAGGTGGTGCTGGTCCTGGCCGGACGCTACTCCGGACGCAAAGCCGTCATCGTGAAGGTACCATCCTTGCAAGCCTGTACGCCCGTGTTTCCCGGAACTGGGCCGGTTTCGGAGGACCGCGAGCTTGGAATTCAAGAACCAGTTTGGGACATGAGCCATTGAGCATTGCGTGTAGGGGTGGGGGTGAATGCATGAGGGCTTTTGGAAGAGGAAAATGGAAAATAAAAACAAGTTGACTTGGGCACCTAACACAGAATGCGCCCTCTACCAAAGAGACTTTAAATAATAATAATAATGGCCAACGCTTATTGAACGCTTGCTTGGTGCCTGGTACACTGCCTTACAGATGTTTTCGTGCCCAGTCCTTGCAGTAACCCTAGGCAGTGGTTCTCAACCTTCCTAATGCCGCGACCCTTTAATACAGTTCCTCATGTTGTGGTGACCCCCAATTTCATTGTTACAAATTGAACATAATTAAAGCATAGTGATTAATCACAAAAACATTATGTAATTATATATGTGTTTTCCGACGGTCTTAGGCGACCCCTGTGAAAGGGTCGTTCGACCCCCACAGGTTGAGAACCGCTGCCATAGAGGGTTCTTCCTACTTGCTAAGGTTTAGAGATGTTCGCTAACTCACCTGAGGTCAAGCAGATAGTAAGAGCTGCAGCTGGGATTCTGTAGAGGAGGAGGAATTGTTTCTATCAAAATGGTCATTTAGCGTATTGCAGCCCTTCACTGTTTGCCTGCTGCCTTCATCTTTTTAGCTTCTTGAAATGTCCCTAACGTCTGACCACATATAGCACTGCTCTTAGCTGTTTGGGGGACATTGGAACTTCTGGTTCCCTTCCCCCCACCTTCTTGAGACGAGTTGGGCTGCCTGCCTCTGCTCCTAAGAACCAGTGCTTGGCGGGTCGCAAGGACTTCATTCATAAATGATAACTGTTCTTTTAAAACCTCTTACCTCCCAGGAGCCCAAATTCTTCCTGGTGGGCATGAATGCCGCCCTAACCCTCACTGCTCTGGGCATCTGGCATAGCACTTAGTGTGTCTCCTTTATGTGGTTTTTCTCTGTAAGATGGTGGGTCTCAGAGACATGGGGGTAGAGATGATCTTTCTGTACATGCCTGCCTCTAGCACAGGGCCTAGCTAGGCTTTAGGTTGATCCTAAATGTAAATCTTGCTCATTTAGAACATTGATGATGGCACCTTGGACCGCCCCTACAGCCATGCTCTGGTGGCTGGAATTGACCGCTACCCCCGAAAAGTGACAGCTGCCATGGGCAAGAAGAAAATTGCCAAGAGGTCAAAGATCAAGTCTTTTGTGAAAGTTTATAACTACAATCACCTCATGCCCACAAGGTGAGCATTTCAAGAATGGGAATAAAAGTGACTCTTTTTAAGTTTCTTTTCCCCCATCTCTGCCTTGCTGAATAAGGAGACAACCTTGCAGCCATCTGGGGGGAGACATCATTTTCAGTTTGTCACAAAGTGGCTGTGGTTTCCAATCTTGCCCCTTTCATACACCTTGGGACCGTGTTCATGTCATTTTCTTTGGTGGTTTCCCTGACTTTGCCAGGCCTAATTGAAAATCTCCAAGCTTGCTCTTTGTCTTTCTTACCTGAAAACTCTAAATGTTGAGTAAAGATTTGTTTCCATCCACAGTAAACACAGGCATGGGATCTGGCCTGCCCACCTCTTCCGCTGTTCCGTTCTCACAGATAGTTATTATAGGCTTTCAAAAATGAACAAAGGAAAGCAAGTCTCCCTTGATTTCATTTGACTGCCAGGCCCTTTCTCTCCTGGCCTTTCATGGTATTGTGCAGCGCATCTGCTATCCTGGTATAAGGGTGATAAAGGAATACAAGATTTGAAAGACCTCTGAACCAAAGAATTGCCACACCCAGCAGCATGTGCCTTAAAGTTTGCTACTGGGACTTGATGTTTGCTCTTAATGTGCTGACCTAAGAGAGCAGGGCCCTTTCTCGTGTGTTAGAAAGCTGTGAGATTGAGGCAGCTAGCTGCCCAGCTCTTGCATTGTCATAATGGGGCACGCTGCATAGGCAGAACTTGAACAGTACTAAATACAATGGCTCTAAATAGAAAACCAGCCACCCACTAGGAATCAAGTAAAGTTCTAATACAGTGATGGTTCGTAGCTAGAAAATAAGTAGTTGGGAAAATTGACAGTGAAGTGTGAAGTTTTCCAATGGCTTAAATTTATGTAAATGAGTCTTAATATTAGAGATTTCCCAAACCTATCATCAGCACTTTGGGACAGCTTTTGACTGTTGTTCCTGTGGAGGCAGAACCTGGTACCCTACTGTCCCAGGAGGACTTGGGTGACTGCGGAGGCCCTGGCAGCATACGGGCTAATCCAGCTCCCCACCACTGTCCCCAGGTACTCTGTGGATATCCCCTTGGACAAAACTGTTGTCAACAAGGACGTTTTCAGAGACCCCGCTCTAAAACGCAAGGCCCGGCGGGAGGCCAAAGTCAAGTTTGAAGAGAGGTAAGTTAGGCTTTGGTGGTGGATATTGGGGTGTGGTGTTGCTAAGTCCCATAAAGAGAAATTTGTCTCTCCCTCCTCTCATTGGTGTCCTTGTTTTCCCACTAGATACAAGACCGGCAAGAACAAATGGTTCTTCCAGAAGCTGTGGTTTTAGATATATATTTTGTTTCTGTCATTAAAAATGTAAAAAAATATCCGTGTCTGCCTGTTGCATGTATTATTTATTCATCTGGGAAAGGAGAACAGTCATAAGATAAAAGGCTGGTGGGTGAGGGGCTATGGAAAAAATATAAAAGTTAAATCTGCCTTTGTGAGACTTGAGCTAGTTCTCAGCTTGATAATCCTTTAATGAACTGCTTCCCAAAAGGGCTACTGTTGACATTTTTAGGTGCAGAGTTTTTTGGCATCCCTGACTTCAGCTCTTTACATCCTTAGAGAAACTGCCACCCACCACCAGAGGACAACCAAAAGCCCCTCTGAGTGGATGTGCACTGACTGTTTCGGATTGAGAACTAACCTGAGGTTCTCAAACCTTAGCACTGGTGGCTTGTCAAACCAGAGTCACCCTATGAGTCAGATTTAGTTGGTAAGAATTTCTAGCAAGTTGTCTGGTGATGCTGGTGCCTCCAATGAGGACCACACGAGGGGGCCAGGCCAAGAGCAGCCATTTCTAGTGGGACCGGGGAGAGGTCCCTAAGAGCCTGGCTAGCAGAAGCTGGCAAAAGAGTGGTTGAGCATCGACCTATGAATCAGGAGGTCAGGGCACATGCCAGGGTTGCAGGCTCAATCCCCAGCAGGGGGTGTACTGGAGGCAGCCAATCCATGATTTTCATCATTTCCCTCTCCCTCTGAAATAAATATTTAAATTTTTTTTAAAGGGTATGATTCTCGAGGGCTTGGGATACTTGTGACCTGTTTTAGGAATGAGAAGCTCTCCAGCTGAGCTGGTTCTCAGTCACGGTGAAACTAGGATCCAGAGACCTATTCGCCAAGCCTGAGGCGCACTTCCATCTGGGGTGGGGTTGTGAGAAGAGCTCATAAGTTCCTGGTGTAAAAACCCTGGACTAGATGAAAATAATAGGAAAGACAGTGTTTTATGTACTTTAGTTTGGCTCCTCTCACCTTTAAGTATTGGGCATCTCTATTGAAACCCTCCTGTTAGCTTGTACTCGAGTCCCAAGTGGAAATGAGTTTAAACCCTGCTTTGACTAAAAATTCAAGTTCTCATGCCTCAAAGCCCAAGTTCAAATACTGTCCAAGTTTGGATACATGCTTCACTTCCTGTAATGTGACAGAAGTTTAGGATCTCATCTGGAAAGAACTAAGGGGTTGTTTTGAAGATTGAGTTTAATTCATGCAAAACAGGACCAGTATTGGACACAGCAGCGCTCAATAAATGCTATTGTAACAACTTTGTGAACTTGGAGTGGCTTTGTCCTGGTTGCATTTGTCACTCAGTTTTATCAATGTCTGCATGTGCCAGGCATTATTCTGGGCTCTAGGGAAATATCTATTAACCAAGCAGACAGGTTTCTGCCAGTGGGCTTCTGCTGGGATGGAAAGGTTGGGAATGGTGGATTGGGGCCAGAATTTAGTTTGCATTTAGTAAGGTAGTTTCCCCTAAGACAGTGGTTCTCAACCTTCCTAATGCCACGACCCTTTAATACAGTTCCTCATGTTGTGGTGACCCCCGATTTCATTGTTACAAATTGAACATAAAGCATAGTGATTAATCACAAAAACAATATGTAATTATATATGTGTTTTCCGATGGTCTTAGGCGACCCACAGGTTGGGAACCGCTGCCCTAAGGCCACATAGCTGGGTGAAGTTGACGTAGAGACCTGGAAGTCTCCTCCCAGGGGTGGGGAAAAGCAGTTGGCCATGTGAGCACTAAATGGGCAGGGACTTCCCAGAAATGAAAGTGGAAGTAAAGAGCCTGCAGGCAGAACGTTTTGAAGCGCATTTCAGGCTCTGTGAGGGGAGATAAGTCTCAGAAGGTGGAAGCAAGAGTTCTGTTGGGTGGATTCTGCCACTTTGTTTCCAGCTCTGAAGCCTCTGCTATTGCCAACCAGATCCCAGACCCATGTCAGTGACTCCAGATCCCGTAAGTGAGGAGGAGGAGGGTGTTGGGCGTGGGGAGAAACGGGAACATGTCAGTGACTCCAGATCCCGTAAGTGAGGAGGAGGGTGTTGGGCGTGGGGAGAAACGGGAGCATTCCTCTTGGCCTGGCCGGGTGTCCTAGCCTCTCCTCTGTGGAGTTAGTTCCCTAACCCATTGGCTCAAAGACAAAGCTATATAATCTGTACCTCAGGAGCTGATGAATTCCTTGTGTGAATGCATTTTTCTGGAGAGAATCTGTATTTTTCATTAGATACTCAAAAGGTTCCGTGATCTAAAATTTTAAGAATCGCTCTCATGACTATTTTAAACATTTAAGGCCCTGGCTGGGTAGCTCCGTTGGTTGGAGCATCGTCCTGACACACCAAGATTGTGAGTTTGAAGAAATGTACCTCCTCTGAGAACTGAGCTCCCTGCTGCCTCTTGTGGTCCACCATTTCCTGACCTCCACTCAGGCCAGACGGAGCTCTGTGAGGACTGGGCCCCAAGGAGGGCACATACAAGAATCAACCAGCAAATGCATAAATAAGTGAAACAACAAATCTGTGTTTCACTATCTCTCTCTTGGAAAAAAATAAATACAATTTTTTTTAAAGAGATCAGAAAAAATATATTTTTTAAATCAAGAAATGCCCACGTTCTTATTTCCTGATATCTTCACCAACAAATTCTCCTGTCCTTACACTTTCTCAACCTTGGGCCCTCTTCTGGGTCAGAGGAAGAAGTGTGCCTCCTCTGGGAACTAAGCTCCCTCCTGTCTGTTGTGTCCACTGTTTCCTGACCTGTGAACACCCCGGCTCAGGCCAGGCCAAGCTCTGCGAGGGCTGGCCCCGGTCCAGCCAGTCCACCATTGCCCCCAGTGCCTAGCACTGTTCCTAGCATGTAGTAGACACACATTAAACAGCTGTTGAATGAATGAATCTCATCCCCTCTCCAGTTTATTCAGTCTTTCCTTCCGCGTTACTACCCCACTACAAATATGCTGATCTCTCACTTAGAAACTTTCATTTGCCCCCTTTTTTTTTTTAAGCTTTTTTTAAAAAATATATTTTATTGATTTTTTACAGAGAGGAAGGGAGAGAGATAGAGAGTTAGAAACATCGATCAGCTGCCTCCTGCACATCTACTGGGGATGTGCCCGCAACCAAGGTACATGCCCTTGACCAGAATCGAACCTGGGGCCTTTCAGTCCACAGGCCGACGCTCTATCCACTGAGCCAAACCGGCTTCGGCTCATCTGCCCCTTAAATGTAACAAGAAAGACCACAGGCTCTGTAGCAGGAGTGGGAACCTTTTTTCTGCCAAGGGCCATTTGGATATATAACATCATTTTCGGGCCATACAAAATTATCAACTGAAAAATTAGCCTGGCCGCCAGTGTGCTCAATGGTTGAGCTTCACATGAACCAGGAGGTCATGGTTCAATTTCCAGTCGGGGCACATGCAGGAGGTAGCTGATCAATGATTCTCTCTCATCATTGACATTTCCATCTCTCCCTCCCCTTTCCTCTTTGAAATTAATTTTTTAAATAAAAATAGATAAATTAGCCTGTTATATTTGGTCAAACATTTAATTAACTCACCCCTAATGCCTTGGCGGGCCGGATGTTCCCCACCCCTGAAGTCTAAAGCCAACCTGCCTGGTTCCAAATCCTGGTTCCTGCAATTGTGTGGCCCTGGGAATTCTAAAATTGTCATCTAAGCCCATTTCCTTATCTATGAGATGAGAAGAATAGCAACATTTCCTCATAAGAATATTAACCTGCAAGAATCAAGCTAGATAACCCATAAATTAATATAGTAAAAACTTAACACACTGCTTGGCACATACTAAGCACTCAATACATGTTCAATATTGTTAATATTATCACCAACCTTTTCAGAACCCCAGTTCCCCAGGGTCATCTCAATTCACCCCACCTCAGGCCTACCACTCTACTAAAACTCCTTTATTTTAATTATATATAAATTTATTTTAATTATATATAAATATAATTATTGATTTCAGAGAGGGAAAGATAGTAACATCAATCAATGATGAGAGAGAATCATTGATTGGCTGCCTCATGCATGCCCCCTAACTGTGGAATGAACCCACAACCCAGACCTGTGCCCTGACCGGGAATTGAACCGTGACCTCCTGGTTCATAGGTCGAAGCGCAACCACTGAGCCACGCCAGCCGGGCTAAAACTCCTTTATTTTTTTTTTTTAAATATATTTTATTGATTTTTTTACAGAGAGGAAGGGAGAGAGATAGGGAGTTAGAAACATCGATGAGAGAGAAACATCGATCAGCTGCCTCCTGCACATCTCCTACTGGGGATGTGCCCGCAACCCAGGTACATGCCCTTGACCGGAATCGAACCTGGGACCTTTCAGTCCGCAGGCCGACGCACTATCCACTGAGCCAAACCGGTTTCGGCCTAAAACTCCTTTAAAGGCTTTTATATATTAAAAAGGAAAGAAGGGCCCCAGCTGGTTTGACTCAGTGGATAGAGCATTGGCCTGCCAACTGAAGGGTCCCAGGTTTGATTCGTTATTGAGAGACAACCCTTTACTACTGACATGTTGATGTCTATCTTTCCAGAGGCTTTTTATGCATTAATAAATATCCTTATGAATTAAAACTTTTTAAATCAACAGAGTAGGGATCCTATCTTCTATACAGTTTTATATTTTGCTTTTTTGCCTTAGTCTGAGCATTTTTCTGTGTCGTTAATTGTTCTTCATTAATGTCTTTTCATTGCTGTGTAATATTTTATATTTATTTGACTATTCCTCTGTGGTTGCGCATTTCTTCTGTTTTGTTATAAACAGGCTACAATAATAAGAATTCTTGTACATGAACTTCTGACCATTTCCTTATGATAAGCAGGACTGTTTTTTGTTGCTCAATCTCAGTGGTTATTCTCACTCCTCATCTTTTTCTTTATAGTTTTTATTAACTTTAGAGAGAAACTAAAGGAGAGGGAGAGAGAGAAACATCCCCAAACACACAACCTGGGCATGTGCCCTGACCGGGAATTGAACCCATGACCTTTTGGTGCACGGACGATGCTCAACCAACTAAGCCATAGTGGTCAGGGTTCATTCCCCATCTTAGTCGGCACAACTGCTAACTCCTCCTCCTCCTCCTTGACACCTTTCTTCATTCTTCACACCTCTCCTCTCCCTCGGGTTTCGCTAGCCATTCCTCTTCATTCTTCTTGGCTGGTTCTTCCTTATTCCCCTGACCTCTTAGTGCTGAATGCCCCAGAAATCAGCCCTTGGACCTCTTCTCTGTCTACACCATCCCCCTGTTGGTCTCATTTAGTTTTGTAACTTTAAATCTCTCTACATGAATAATTCCCAAATTTATACTTCCAGCTTAAACGTCTTCCCTGAAAGCTAGATTGGTAGAGACAACTGCCACTGTACATCTCGACTGAGATGTTGAATAGCACTTCATACGTAACATGTTCAATAACTCCCTAACTTTCTGCCCCAAATCTCTTCCACCCACAATCTTTCTCATGTCAGCAAAGGGCTTTTCTTCCCTCCAGTTGCTCAGATCAAGAAGCTTAGAATCGCCCGACCAGTGTAGCTCAGTTAGTTGAGCATCGTCCCATGCACCAGGAGGTCTCTGGTTCTATTCCCTGTTGGGGCACATGCCCAGGTTTGCAGGCTTGATCCCCAGTAGGGGACGCTCAGGAGGCAGCTGATCAATGATTCTCATCATTGATTTTTCTCTCTCTCTCTCTCTCTCTCTCTCTCTCTCTCTCTCTCTCTCTCTCTCTCCTGAAATCAATTTTAAAAAAACATTAAAAAGAAAAGCTTTCGAGTCATTCCAGACTCCTCTCTTTCTTCCACACCCTCTTTCTGATCCATCAGCAACTACAGTCTATTATGTCTCTTTACTACTCTTCACCACCTCCACTGCTACCACCTGGTCCAAGTCACTAACATCGCTCACCTGGATGCTGTAATGGCCTCCTAAATGGTCTCCCTGCTTATGCTAATTCCCCACATCAGTCTACTCTTACAACAGCCAAGGAATCCTGTTAACATTTAAGCCTGCCTATGGCTTCCCACCTCACATCAAGTAAAAGGCCCTGCATGATCCAAACCCCTCTGTGACTTTATTTCCAACAGCTCTCCCTCACTCCCTCTGTTTCCCAGTGTTTCCCACATTGGTCTCCTTGCTATCCCCCAAATACACCTGACAAACTCCCACCTGAGGGCCTTTGCACTTGCTATTCCCTTTGCATAGAACTTCTCCCCACATGTATGGCTTGCTCCTTCATCTCCTTCAAGTATATGCTCAGATATCTCAGTGAGGCCTATTCTTATTACCCCATTTAAAATTATCCCCCAACATTCTCTGCTTTGTTTTTATCCATAACACTTATCACTCACCTGATGTACATTTTACCTAAACTCCACAAGGAAGCTTTGTCTGTTGTGTTCACTTCTGTGTCCCCAGAGCCTAGAACAGGGCCTGGCCGATGGTAGATGCTGATTGTTGAGTGAGTGAATGAGTAAGTGGGCAGTGAATGAATGGCCTTCTGGTAGCCAGTTTCATCCCTCCTTCTCCTTTGTGTCTGACACTTCCCAATCCTGGCCTGGCCCTGCTTATCTCTTTCTATGTCTTCTATTTCTTCCCTGCATTCTCTCCTGACCCCTGACCAGGTATCCTCAAAGACTTTTTTAAGGCTCTTTTCCTCAGAGAGCTCTTCCATCCTCTTGGCTTCAACCATCACCACATGCTGTTCTAACCCAAAGTCCTGTCCAACAAGTCCTGTCCCTGACCTTATGTGTCTTCAATAGCCTTGGGTTTGACTAACTTTGGCCCATCAGTTAACCTTGATGAACCTCAGGTTCCTCATCTAAAAAAGGGACTTTATTAAAATAGAAAACATCTAACATAGCACTTATGTGCCATGCACCACTTCCAAACAATTAACTACAGGTGCCTGGCTGGGTGGCTCAGTTGGTTGGAGCATCATCCCATACACCAAAAAGTTGCGGATTTGATTCCCAGTCAGGGCACATACCTAGGTTGCAGGTTTAATCCTTGGTCGGGGCAAGAGCAGGAGGCAACCAATCAATGTGCCTATCTCACATCAATGTTTCTCTCTCTCTCTCTCTCTTTCTCTCTCTCCCTCCCTCCCTCCCTCTCTCTCTAAAATCAATAAAAACATATCCTCAAGTGAGGACTTTTTAAAAATTAAATACAAACTGCTATTACGCCCATTTTACAGGTGAGGCAACCAAGGCACAGAGAGTTTAAAAACTTGCAGTAGTAAGATGAGCTGATGTAAACCCCAGAGGTTTGGCCCCAGAGTTTGTGCTTTTAACCGTTTTGCTAAACTGCCTCCTAATACTCCCATGATGAATATAGATAGCATGAGGTTTTATCTAATGGGGTAATGAGGTTCTAAACTCAGCACGTAAGCCAGAAGATTATATGTAGTCAAAATTAACTTTAAATCATGAACTTACCCAAAATGTATCCAGAATTTATAGTTTCTCAATGAGCTCAATGTAGATTCGGTTGCACTTTTTTTTCAGTGGAGCACCAGATGGCTTGCATTTATTTATTTAAATATTTTTAAATTTTATTTTATTTGTATTGATTTCAAAGAGGAAGGGAAAGAGAGAGAGAGAATCATCAATCAGCTGCCTCCTGCATGCTCCATACTGGGGATTAAGCACATAACCCAGGCATATGCCCCAACCAGGAATCGAACCGTGACCTCCTCAATGTTCAAACCCTGAGCCATGCCAGCCAGGCTGTTTTTATTGATTTTAGAGAAGAAGGGAGAAGGAGAGAGAGAGAAACATTGATCAGCTGCCTCCTGCACGCCCCCTACCACGGATCAACCTGAAACCCATGCATGTGCCCTGCCCAGGAATCAAACTAGCAACCTTTTGGTACATAGGACAATACTCAACCAACTGAGCCACACCAGCCAGGGCATGGCTTGCATTTAGAGACCATGTTATCATGTTGTATAAGTAAATAGCCAGAATAGCTGAATTCAGGTTAAGTGATTACAATTGGCCTGTGTTGTCCTTAAGAGTCCTGTAAGAGACAAGTTTCAGTTGGGAGTTGGAGACAGGAGGGAATTTTGTGATATTTGAAAGAGATAGAGTCCAGCCGTATCTGGCATTTAGCAGGTCTGGATCTCTTTCCTGGCCCTCTGGGCCAGTGGCATTATACCAGACTCTGGGGCACCAGGTCTGCAATCTGGCATCATCTTCACCGCCCTCTGTCTCCTTAATGCAAACATCCACTGCATCTGGGAGGTTTTCTTCATGAAACATGCTCATCCACGTGTGCTCCTCGGTTGGCCCCTGCCAGAGGTCCAGGTCAGCTCCTGTCACGTGGTGGGAACTAGAGCCACGGAGCCTGGGCTTGTTTCCCTCACTCCATGGCTCCTGCCCCAGTTCATTCTGCCATCACTCCCAGGATCTCCTTTAAACACCATGTCCATTCCCTTACCCCCCCTTTCAGAAATCTTCACTAGTTCCCCATTCCTTGCTGATATCACATTTAAACTCCCCAGCTTGAAATTTTCTTTAAAATAGTCTACTTATGGCCCTAGCCAGTTTTGCTCAGTGGATAGAGCACCGCCCTTTGGACTGACGGGTCCTAGGTTTGATTCCCTCTAAGGGCACATGCCTGGGTTGCAGGCTCGATCCCCAGTAGGAGTGTGCAGGAGGCAGCCAATCAATGGTTCTCTCTCATCATTGATGATTCTATCTCTCTATCCCTCTCCCTTCCTCTCTAAAATCCATAAAAATATATTTAAAAAAATAAAATAGTCTTCTTTTGTAGCAATTATTTATTTATTTTTATTAAGCTATTTATTAAAAAATAGCATTGCCAATTACTAGATTTTCAATTATGTATAATTATGTCAATATTTAAAGCAGAAGTAAAAAGAGAATGGACTGCGGACTGAATCCAACCCACCATTTTATTTTTCATATATTTTTTACATTGAGCCATCTTTTTCAAATAAAAATTCAGGTTTCTGATTTCCCTTTAAAATGGAGAGATAGGGGATACTGGAACCACAACACACTCCCATGTGAAAAAACTCGGTTAGAGCTAAGAAGAGGCTGTCACTGTAGCGGGGATATATGCTCTCTCCAGTTTCTCAGGCTCTCCACCACTCCTTATCACACTAGACTGGCGCCCTTGACTAACTGGCCCTTATAGGCACTGAGTTTGTGACCCCCTTGTTTACAGAAATATAAAGAATGAAAGAAAAAAAAAGAATGAGGTACCTTTCTCACTACTCATAAACCAGTATTAATCAAGCCCTAGTTTTTCTCTGCTTAAAATGAGAGTGAACTCACTGAATGTCTTCAATACCCTCTGTAATATGCTTTCATCCTATTATACATTCACTTCATTCATTCAGTCAACACACTTTGCCAAATGCCTGTTTTGTGCCAGGGACTCTGCTGAGCACTGGAGATACAGAGAAGACCAGGACAGAGTCCCATCTCCCCAAGTGAGCTCACACTTAGATTCTGAGCTGACCTTATTTATCAGGCTTCCCAACCACTGAGTGAACTATGCCAGCCAACAACTGTTCCAACCCACAAACAAAGGTGCATTTATTCATATCCCTGGTGTCATTCCCCTGCCCATGTTGTCAGCGCGCTCTCTCTCTCTCTCTCTCTCTCTCTCGGCCTGCTCCAAATGGCACCAGCCTAAAAGGCTGCTTGGAACAATGGAAAGGGTGGCAGTCAAGGGACACACTGGCAAGGTGTGGGGTACATTACTCCCCAACTCTGGGCTTGATTTCTTCACTGTAGAGCACAAATTAACAGTGTGGAGTCACACTGATAGGGCTGAATTACTTTGGGCAAATCATTTAACCTCTCTGAGCTTTGGGTTTCCTCATCTGTAAAATAAGGACAAGAGGGTTGCTGGAAGAACTGAGTGATATAATCTATATAAATGGCTTAGGACAGGTGCTCTCCTTCTCTGGAGCACACTTGCGCCTTTCCTACCCCCTCTTCTCCCCGCCCCACCCCCCCACCCAGGAGCAGTTGGTTACCTTTGCCATTCTCCCTCCTAAGCTCCAAAGGCCCTTCTTCTGCCTCTGCAACTTGCTTCCTGAGCTTACCCAACCTGGCTGGCTCACTTCTACTATCTCTGTAACTTTCTAAAGAAACTTTCTCTTATAACTTGAAAAAATAAAACAATGCCTGACATGTTTGTGCTAGATACGTGTTAGCTAATAGTATTATGACATTTTGCAACTCTACGCACCCATTTCCCCTGGAGGCCTCCCTAGCTGTGTTAACCCATTTGCAACGATCCCTCCTCCAAACTCCTGCTGTTCTCCACAATCAGTCATGTGACTGCTCACAAACTCCGGTTCTGTTTTGTGCAGGCCTGAGGCTTGGCTCTTGTCTTCCACTGCCCTGTGTCAGTACCCAGCACCTCACAGCAGGAGCTCAATCAGTGTTTGTTAAACTCTAGGTGTCAATAATAAACCAGCCATGGCTGCTGCAAAGGCTTCTGCCCTACAGAGAGTGGCTGACGCCACCAAGTCCTGAGTAGAGGGGCCAGGACCCGCCCAGGGCCGGGTAAAGGGGTTGGGTTGTTCTTAAGCTGAGAGAGTCCAGAGTAGGACCCCCTTCCCCTGGAAAGGCTGGTGGATATCTGATTGTTCTGTCCTAATAGGCATGCTTCAGGAGGGGGGACCTATTACACAACCTTCAGGAGGAGCAGGCCAGACTAAAGATGAGGCTGCAGGAACTGCAGCAGCTGAAAAGGGAGCTCAGGAACTCCCCCCAAGACAAGGTAAGCTGGGAGAGGGGTGTGGCCTGGCAGAAAGAGCTGGGGAGTTCTTAGTTTCACTTCTGGCTCTGCCACTTCCTTGCTGTGTAACCTAGAGGATGTTACTTGAACCCTCTGGATCCGTTTTCTCATCTATAAAGTAGAGTTACTTCCTTCATAGGCTTGTGTGAGGACAAACTAAAATCTTGTATATAAAATGCCAGGACAGCCGTGGTCGGTTGCTCAGTGGTTAGAGCATTGGCCGGCCTGTGCACCAAAGGGTTGATTCCCGGTCAAGGGGCACGTACCTGGGTGGCAGGTTCAGTCCTTGGCCCTAGTTGGGGTGCATGGGGAAGGCAACCAATCGATGTGTCTCTCTCACATCGATCGATGTTTCTCCCTGTCTCTCTCCCCTTCCCGCTTCTACTTTCTCTAAAAATCAATGGGAAATAATATCCTTGGGTGAGGATTAACCAAAAAAAAAAATACTTTAAGTGCCAGAACAAGCTTGACCTGCTTTCATCCACTTATTTACCCAGCTCTTCTTCCATTAAACATATTCATCCCTTGCACTCAGTATCAATCACATGGAACTGGGGACACTTTCCTCCTGGGAGGGAGTAGAGAGCTCCCCCACCCTTGAAGGCTACATCACCCCCCAATTTCACCCCCCCCCATCTCCAGGTCCCATTCCCAGTGCCTGAAGTCCCCCTGGTGTTCCGAGGACACATTCAGGAGGGGATGGAAGTGCCCAAGTCTTTGGTTTCCAACCTGCAGATCTGCTACCCTATGCCTGGAGGCTCTGCTCTGGTCATCTTTGATGACCCCAAGGGTGAGCTCACTGGGAAGCCTTGGGAGGGAGGCTGGGAGGCTTCCCAGTACTGATCCTGCCTCCCCCACAACCCCCAACCCCTCACCCCCCACCCAGTGGCCAAGCAGGTGCTACGACAAAAGGAGCATCAGATTGAGCTGGAAGAGTGTCGGCTGCGGGTGCAGGTCCAGCCCGTGGAGCTACCCGTGGTGACAACCATCCAGGTGATAGAGTGGCAGAGTTCTGGGACCTACAGGGGTGCCATGCACTTGGACACTGGGGAGTGGGGCTGTGCCTCGAACCACTCCTTCTTGTCTACCCCTAGGTGTCCAGCCAGATGAGTAGCCAGAGAGTGCTGGTCAGTGGGTTACCTGCTAAGCTCAAGCTGAGTGAGGAGGAGCTGCTGGACAAGCTGGAGCTCTTCTTTTGCAAGACCAAGAACGGGGGTGGAGATGTGGAGACTCGGGAACTGCTGCATGGGGGTGTCATGCTGGGCTTTGCCAAGGATGAAGGTAAGGGCTCTCTCAGGGAGATTAGGGCAGATGCATCAGGCCCCAGAGGAAAGCCCTTGACGCTAAAGGCCTACCCCTTCTGTCCCTGCAGTGGCCCAGAACCTGTGCCGGATTGGCCAGTTCACGGTGCCATTGGGTGGGCGGCAGTTCCCTCTGAAAGTCTCTCCCTACATGAGCGGAGAGATCCAGAAGGCAGAGGTAAGTAGGAAGGTGGGGAACGGGGGCTGGCCAGGTAACCTGTCTGCCCCTCTCATGCTCCCATGGGCACTGCCTGCTCCACCCTCTGCCCCAGCCCGACTCCCATGAGCCTTTGCTCATCTCCGGACTCCTTTTCCAGATCAGGTCCCAGCTAGTGCCACAGGCAGTGCTGGTGCTCAACATTCCCGATGTGCTGGATGGCCCCGAGCTGCAGGATGTCCTGCAGGTCCACTTCCAGAAGCCCACCCGTGGGGGAGGGGAGGTGGAGGCCCTGACAGTCGTGCCCCCAGGAGAGCAACGCCTGGCGGTCTTCACCACCGAGTCCAGCTAGGAGCCTACCCTCTCATCACCATCCAGCCCTCTGCCAAGGTTCTCAAACTGGGCTGGGGTTGGGTGCATGTGGATGATCAAGATCATGCTAGTCAATGGAGGGCGGGACTCTGAGTTGTGAAACGCTGTCCCAGACAGTAAAAGTGCCTGCCTGGAGTGATCTCCTTCCTCATTTCATTTCATGAAAGGAAACTTGATTTGGGCAAGGAAGGAGGCTGGGGGGAGGGCAGAAACCCTAGCCTTCTGCTACCAGCACTGACCTTCCCCAGCTGACCTTCCCCTCCACTCTCAGAGGCCACAGCCAGGATCCAGGGTTTAGCTTTTTATTGACACAAACACAAAGGCAGCTTCGGTCATGGGGTGGGGTACACAAAAGCAGAAGTCGCACTTCACACCGTTTAGGCCTCATTTAGACAATGAAGAGACTGAACCCCTCCCTGCCACCTCCCATTGGCAATGGCTGGGGCAATAACCCTTCTTAATTCCAGCTCAGAGAGCAGAGGGAGCTACACCTGTACCCTAGGAAGTCCCCATTTTGGTTCCCAGGGCCCAGTTCCTAACCCGCTCCCCCCCACCCCATTTTACTCCCTCACTTCATCTCCCCACCCATGTAAACAAAGTTTGGGGCATTTGGAAAGGTACCTCCCTGCTCTGAGAAGGCAGGGGGCAGGGGGCCTCCCATAACTGCACAGGGATGTGCTTTAATTTTTACTTTGGTCCCAGAACAAGAAATAGACGGCATTGACTCCCAGGGCTCTGGCTGGTAAATGCCATCCTTATCTGCAAGGCTGAGAAAACCTCCCCACCTCTTTCTCCTCAACCACTGAGAGAGAAATGACAGCCCCAGAGAGAGACAGGATATGGCACAGGACCTAGGAGGCGAGGGGCTGCCTCTGCCCCGACACTGGCACACTCACAGATTTTTGGAGGTGTTGTGGAACTGGGGAGCAGTAGAACCCAGCTCCATCAAAACAAGGAAGGCACTGGGGAGTACAAGGGTGAAGAAGGAGGTGTGAGACAGGGACCCCTCCATATACACAAGCACAGGTTTTCCATTGCTAAGGCACTGAGAACAAATCCAGAGAACTCAGTGAAGGAAGGGGGCCTCTGTATCCCTCCCACAGAGTTGTGACCTAGGAGACCAGTTGTGATTCCTGCCCTTGTTGTAAGAGGCAACCTTGGTTAAGAGTGGCAGGAAACCTGGAGGTGGAAGAAGCTCAATTGTGCTTAAGAAGTTGGGGGACAAGAAGATGAGGCCATACAATGAGGCAAAGAAGTTCAGAGGTGGGCGCTGGTCGGCCCAGGTTGAAGGGACACTAGGGCGAAACAGGGACATGCTGGACTCACACAGATTGGCCCCATATCCTGAGCTGACATTTCATTTCTTTGGGGGAGGTAGTGGGGCAGGGGCAGGAGGGGAGATGAGGCAGAGGCAGAAGCACGTAGAACAGAACAGGAAGGGGTTGGCTAGCCTTGGCACAAAAGCAGCACAGCAGGCCCAGGGAAAGGGTGGGGGCAGGAAGCAGCCGGTCTCCCTCTGTCCCTCCCTGTCCCCTTGGCGGGGCCCAGACATCCAAGTGGTCACTTCCCAACCTCTTCAGAGGGCAGGAAGGAGGGAGGGGGCAGCCCTGGCTAAAGAGAAAAAACAGGGCAGGGGAGAGGTCATCACCACGGAGACCTTTGGGGGAAAGAGGGCAGAGCATTATGATAGAGGATGAAATTCGAGTATCTGGGGGCCAACATAACATGGCTTCCCAGCTTCTCTCTTCCTGAGGGTCTCCCAGCCCCCATCCTAGTTCTCCTTCTCTGGCCCAGGCACCAGGATGACTTTGCCCACATTCTTCTTCTCCTGCATCTGCCTCATGGCATCCGCCACCTGAAAAGGAAGACAAGATGCTGCTCCCAGTGCTCCAGAGAGTCAGCCTAAAGGAGGAGGCTCTCCTCCCCCCAGGAACCCTACCCCTAGGACCACAGCCTTGCAGGGTCCTGCCCAGGCCCTCCCTGCAGAGCCATCACACTCACCTTCTCGAAGGGCCACACAGAGTCAATGTGAGGTTTGATGTGGCCCTGATTGTACAGAGCCAGGAGGCGGGTCACCACACCACTGACCAGCTCTATCTCACTATCCAGGTAGCCCAGGTGGAAGCCACACACAGCCCGGTTGGCCTGCAGCAGCTGCAGAGCTGTCACGCTGAACTGATTCCACCATATACGTGCCATGGTCATCAGGTTCCGCTTGGGGCCTGACACCAGGTTGGCCATTCCTGAGAGACAAGGAGACATAGCCTATGAATCTGGGTGCCAGGCACAGCCCTATGCGTCTAGACCAGCCGTGGGCAAACTATGGCCTGCGGGCCGGATCTGGCCCGTTTGAAATGAATAAAACTAAAAAAAAAA